TATATATATATATATATATATATATATATCTACTGCGAATGACATCGTTGCGACTCACCGCCGTTTCTGTTCAAATCCACGAGCTAGCTGTGTTTGGGCACGGCGTTGTACGCAGTCGAAACACGCTGCGGCACGAGGCGTCTTCTCCCAGCAGTTCGCTTTCTTGTTGTTATGCGGGAAAGGAAGCGGTGCATCTCAAAAAATGCCGCCCCCAACTCAGGTCGCGCTCTTATGGCATTTTGTGACGCCTCTTCTTGCTGTTCTTGTACGCTGATCTTCCTTGAATTCGCCGAAGTCCCCACCACCACCACCGCCGCTTTCTCTTTCCTTTGCTGCCATTCATCTCGCGTACACTTCAAACTCCTCTGCCTTCGTTGGAGCACAAAGAGTCCTTGTTTGTTTTCTGTTATTTTCTGCCGTGTACATACACACTCCCACGCTTCCCCGCACTTGTTCTACGGTTGTTCACTGCCGTCTGCGCAACAGTCCTGCTATCGACGCCATGTCGCACCGGTACGACTCCCGCACCACGACCTTCTCGCCGGAGGGGCGCCTCTACCAAGTCGAGTACGCCGCGGAGGCCATCCAGCAAGCCGGCACGGTGATCGGCGTGTGCACCAAAGACGGCGTCGTCCTCGCCGGGGAGAAGATGGCTCCCCATCCCCTCTTCGACAGTGAAAACATGCAAGACAAGAATACCGGCGGCGAGAAGGTGTACAAGATCGCGGAGCACATCGGCTGCAGCGTGGCCGGCGTCACGTCGGACGCCTACGCGCTGATGAACTACGCCCGTCTGACGGCGCAGCGACACCAGTACGCGTTTCGCGAGCCGATGGCCACCGAGGATCTCTGCCGCACCCTCTGCGATGAGAAGCAGATGTACACCCAGTACGGCGGCGTGCGTCCGTACGGCGTGTCGTTCCTGCTGGCGGGCTGGGACCGCTACTACGGCTACCAGCTCTACTCGACGGAGCCGAGTGGGGACTACAGTGCATGGAGCGCACACGCCATCGGTCAGAATGAGCAGATTGCGCAGTCCACCTTGAAGAAGGACTGGAACGAGTCGATGACGCTGGAGGACGGGATGTTGCTGGCCCTGCGTGTGCTGAGCAAGACGATGGACACGGCGAAGATCGACCTGGATCGAGTGGAGATGGCCGTCCTGCACAAGGTGCCAGCGCCCATCGAGAGCAAGCTGCTGGACCCGCACAGTCACCATCCGAAGACGGTGCCGGAGTTCCACATTCTCGCGCGCAGCGAGCTGAAGCCGCACGCCGAGCGCGCCGACCAGGCTCGTGAGGCCGAGGAACAGGCCGAGGCGGAGCGCGAGCGCCAGCAGGAGCAGAGGCTGACGTCGTAAAAATTCGAGAAGGTGAGGAAATGTTTGTGAGCTGGAAAGTGACGGAAGAAGGCGAGGGGAAAAAGAACCACTTGATTGCGCAAAGAGCGATGACTTGAGCGTTTCTGTGGTGATGCATCGCATGAGCGTACTCCACATTTCTGTTCTACGGTGCGTTACCTCCTGTCCTTCTTCTATTGTGTGTTTTTCCGTTCCCGACACGCCTTCGTGTGGGTAAGCGAGTCCGCCCAGAAAGCCGTGCTCTCTGTCTCTCCCTCTCTGTTCTGTTGGCGGGCTCTCTTCGTCTTTTTCTTTTCATTATTACTATTGGTTGTTTCAACAGATGCTCTTGTGGAGCTGCAGACGATGCCGATGCGTTCGCAAAGCTGTCGTTGTTGCTCTTTGCTGAGGCAGTCCTCTTCGCGGGACACGGAGGTGTCGAAGACGGACCAAACCAGGGAATGGCGAGTTATGGCGACTCTCTTTCTTTCTCTGGAGGTTTGGTGTCTGTCGCTGTTACCGACGTCGGTGGTTTTAGGAAGTAACGGCGGATTATTGTTATCTTATCTCTATTGGTGGTGTTTTCATATATACGTGTGTTTGCGTGTACGTTTCCTGCATGTCAACTGGGGTGCCGAACTTACCGAAACTGTTAAAGGGAAAAAACTGCTTTCATATGCAGCAAAGAATAAGAGCCCTTGTTGGCTCGTATTGGGTTCCCTTGTGGGCGCCGGCTAAAGACCCGAAAGGGGCAGATGAATGTCGAGGACGTCTACGCGCACTCGAGCATTGCCGGATGCAACACGACGAGAGATGGAAATGGGAAAGAACAAAAGAAAACGTTTTCATGCGCCTGGCGTTGAAAAGAGAGAAGAATGCAAGCGAATAACACAAAATCGATTTGCGGAGTCGCATGCTGGTCTTCGCCGATTTTCTTTGCTGTGCTTTCGCCCCTCCGTGCACCACGAAATCGCTGCTCCACGCAGACTTAGCAGTCTTTACGAGACCTCTTTCCAGCGCTACTGTGCATGTTCTTTCTCCACCTTTCCTCTTCTTCTGCTAAATGCCTCCTCTTTTTTTTTTCTCCTCGCGGTGAGTTGGCATACGAGCGGGGTGCTCACGCCGCCATTCGAAGAACTGCGCTCCACAAACGGGCAGCTCCATTGTACACCGAAGAGGAAAGAAAGGAAAAGGGAACGTTACAGAATCAGGGAATTGTTTGATTATTGGTTTGTTTGTGTGTGTGTGTGTGTGAGGAAGTTTTAGCCGAGACTCTCGTGTGCACTGTGTGTGTATATATATATACCTGCCGTGTCGGGCGACGCACAGGTAACGTCGTTGCGGAGACGCAGAAGCTGTCCACTGTAGCGGCGTGACGTCCTCACTGGACGCATTACCACCGCACAGCATTTGGAGCTCTTTAGGAGTGAAGGCAGCTCATCACTGTCGTACGAAGGAAAGGAGCATCTGCATTGAACAACTTAAGGAACGCGCTTTGTTTGTGTTTTGGTTTTTGTTGTTGTTGCTGGCTCGACACATTCTCGACGGTGTTTAGCAGCGTACCGCTCTTCTTCCTCTTCTCTTCGTTGTTTCGGGTGTTTTTCTTCTTTTCCTTTTACGACAGCGGACGGCGTTGGTGCCAATTCGAGAAGCGCTTTCGCTGTCATCCTTTTTCCACTCCGTACTTTTTCTGTTTCCGAATTCTACTCCCTCACGTACAATCTCTGCCTTAGGGAGGGGGGGGTAGCGCGTGTGTGACGAAGCCATTTTCTTCCTTGTACGCGACGGCGCGCCGCTCACCCGGTATACACAAAAAGTTCGGATCTCCTGTGTGTGTCTCTCTTTTCCATTTTCCCCATAAAAGACATCTTCTTCGCTGAGTTTGCCCTTCCTTTCTTTCTGGTATTTTTCCGTTGTCAGCTGGACTGAAAGAGAAGGCGCCCTTTGTGTGTGTGTGTGTGTGTGTGTTCTCTCCTTCATTCACCGCCTCCTTTGCGCTCTGTTCTACCATTATTCGGTTTTCTCTTTACAACTCCCGTTGTGTTTCCCTTCCTGCTGCTCCTATGCATCATGTGCGCGAGCGTGGTGCGGCCTCCGCGCGCGAAGGCGGCGATGCCACAAGCAGCTCGGTGGATATCGCGACGCAGCCATCCTCCAAAGCTGTCGGCATGAACGACGTGGTCAGCGGTGTGCCGAAGCACCAGAGCGAGCCCACCGCACTGCCGGAGAGCGGCGCGGGTCTCCCCGGCGGCCCGGCCGGTGTCCGCGCCCGCCGTCACGTGGAGGTGCTGTTCCACCCCGAGCTGCGGCGGACGAAGGAGGTGATTCGGCGGCCGGAGTGGGTACGGCGCACCGGTGAGGCCGTCGCCCACCGCGGCTCCCTCAACACGATCGCCCTCTTTGGCCTCGTCTTTGCGAACTGCGTGGGCGGCGGCTACGGCTTCGAGGACGGCATCGGCGCCGCCGGGCCGCTCATCACGCTGATCGTGTGCATCCTTCTGCCGTGGATTTGGGCCCTGCCGACTGGGCTGGCCGTCGCGGAGCTGTCCACGGCGGTGCCGAGCAATTCCGGGGTGCTGATGTGGACGAACGCAGCCTTCCCGCCGTTCATCTCCTTCATGTGCATCCTCGCGACGATCTTCATCACCTTCATTGGCAACGCCACCTATCCGAACCTGACGGCGCAGTACGCCGAGCAACTCGGCCACCTCTCCGCCGGCCCCGTCGCGGCGGTGAAGATCGGCGTGGTCGTCTTCTGCTGCGCGCTGAACTGCGTTGGGGTGGAGATCGTCGGCAGCAGCTCGATTGTGCTGTGCGGGATCACAATTCTGCCGTTCTCCCTCCTGACGGTCATTCAGCTCTTTGGTCACGGCTTTAACAAGGCGGTGCTGTACGTGGATGTGCGGAAGGTGGACTGGGCGGCCTTCTTTTCCATCATCAGCTGGAACTACGCAAACATCGAGAACGCCGGCGCCGTCGTGGAGGAAGTGGCGAACCCGCGCAGTGCCCTGCCGAAGGCCATGATCATGTTGCAGTTCAGCACCTACGTGGCCTACGTGATGCCCATGTTGGCGGGTGTGAGTGCCATGGGCCTCAATCAGGACTACTCGCAGTGGAAGGCGGGGCACTGGCCCGATGTGGCGAAGGTAATCGCTGGAGATTGGCTCAAGTACATGCTCTTCTCCGGTGCTCTCCTCAGCGGCGTCGGTTTTACACTGACGAGTATGTGCTGCACCAGCCGCCTGCTGGCTGGCATGGGCACGATGCAGATGTTCCCCAAGAAGGTGTCGCGCATAATTGGCTACTACCACCCTCGCCTCGGCACGCCGATCCCTGCCATCGTCATCAACTCCACCTTGACGCTGGTGTTTAGTGTGAGCATGGACTTCACGAGCGTCGTGGCGCTCTGCCAGTCGATCTACTGCATCCGCATGCTCCTCATCTACGCCGCGCTGGTGAAGCTGCGGATCGAGTACCCGAACCTGCCGCGGCCTTACGCGCTGCCGTGTGGGACGTGGATGGCAGCGCTGTGCCTCCTGCCGGCGGCGTTGTTCTCCCTCATGGCCTCCATCGTGTCCGCCATGTCGTCGCTGGCGATCGGCATCGCCCTCGTGTGCTTTGTGGTGGGCGGCAGCGGTCTCTCGTGGGTGTACTGCCGAATTTTCGCCCGCAACGGCTTTCAAGGCGTCATTGTCCAGTGTGAGGTGTCGTCCGACGAGGACGGCGACGGCGGCGGCGGCGGTGGCGGTGCGGCGAGCGCGGAGGACGGTACGTTGAGCGAGGGTGTCTTCTACCACGACGACGATGCGAGCGTCGATGAGGACGGCGGAGGAGACTTTCTACTCGGCATCTTGCCAGCCGCCACGGCAAGCCCAACGTCCGCGACGCAGAACCCAAACGGCGGTTTGACTATGTACAGCAGTGGACCTCCGCAGGTCTATTTACGCCGCGGTGCGACCGACCTGGACGCCGTCGGCCCGGGTGAGGAGGTGCGCGACGTGGAGTACACAAATCATGAAGTTCCGCTGGACACCAGCGCCGTGGGATTCAGCACGAACCATAGCAACAGCGTCAGCAACGTCAACCTGAGCAACGCCGCGAGCAAGTCTCCGTCCGGCTTTGGGCAGAGCAGCTTCCCGGTCTTTGCTGGCAGCCTCAACCGTGGTCCGGCACTGCGCCACCGCCACCGCACGCGCAGCCTCGGCGCGAGTCAGAACGTCGTCAGCGGCGAGGACAGCGCGGAGGAGGGCGAGCACACGGCAGGGGAGTGGGTGACCAGGCCAGCAGGCTACGTGACGCCGTTGGCCGACTTTGGCGGACACGGTAACAGGAGCGGTAGCGCCAGCTTCACCACCTCCCCGACGCCGCAGCTCTCCGCTGGCGGCTTTGATGTTCCGCCGGGGCTGCCGCCGCTGCCGGCCACACGCGACCGCAGTCGTGGGGCGACGCCGACAGGTGGGCGCCGTAGTCCGCTGCCGCACGGAGGCAGTCAAGGGGCGAAGAAGCCGTCGGACGATTTTTGAAGAGCTCCTTCTTCTTTGTTGTTTTGCTGTAGATCTGTGTAGCGTGTCGTAAGTTGCATGCAATGGAATTCGTTTAACGCGTGTCACCCCACACAACGCCCTATGTAATGCCAGTGGCTACCCAGCAACGATGCATAGCAAAGGAGCGCTTACTGCGTTACCGTGTCCTCCTTGTTTTTGGTACGCGCTTGAATGCGCCTGTGTTTGTTTGTCTCGCCTTCTTTTTTTTTTAATGCTGCAGCGCCTTTCTTTCAGGGGTTTTTTTTAAGTCGAGTTGCCGCTGACAGCGGGGATGTCCTCTTGTCCTTCTTGGTGTGCGACGTGCGATGTGATGGCGGAGGGCAACGCAACCGCGAACGCTCGCAGAAGTGCTCGCCAACGAAACTGGCGTGCTGGTGAATCGACTCCTTGGAAAAGCAAGGTGTCTGCTTCAGGCGAGGCATCACATTGTTGCTCTTATCGAACGTACATAGAAATGGATTGAGCGCAAACATCTGGCTGAGATGAAAGAGACGGGCGGGGGGGGGGGGAGGGAGAGATGGGGGTAACTCCGTAAGCGCGAGTGTGCCGACGTGTTCGCCGGCAACCAGTGGACTCTTTCCTGTTGGAAAAGGAAAGAAAAAGTCTGTAGTCGCGTTCCTTCCACCGTCCACTTACGATATTTATTATTATTATTCATAGAGTAGAACTACGTATCGTATGCTTCTTTTTCTAAAGCATTCGACGTTGCTTCAGTATTGTATTTCATCTTAGGCTTTCTCCGCGGTTATGGTGTGCCGTAGCGTGCTCGACCTGTGACTCTTCATTGCTTGTTTGGGGGGAGACGGAACGAACATCTTCGTTCGCTCTCTTAACGACGATGATGACGATGATGTGTGTGTGTGTGTGTGTGTGTGTGCTGCTCAACTTCCACCTTTGATTTTGACTGCGTCCCCTCGCAGGCTCACAAAAAAAATGGAAGGGACGGAAAAAATGAGTTGAATGTGATTGGCAGCGGAGAGATTGGCGGATCTCGGTCATTTAGGGTAATGCTCTAAACTATCTTCTCCTTTTCTATTACCTCCTGAATCCTGGTTCTTCCGTATTCTGGTTTGCCTGGCACAGTTGCTTTCAGCATCGAGAGAAACTCCGGTTTTTCGCTGAAATCCACCCGCCCACCCCCGGTCCCTCCCACGACAGGGACCCATGGGATCCTTAAAAAGATCCATGATTTTTGTTTTCCTTGCACTTCGTAAAGCGATACTCTCTGAGAAAAAGTCCGACGACAAACACGACAGATAAAGAAGAACGGAATTGGGGCAGATACTAGATAGTGAAGAAACAATGAGTAGCCTTGATGGGGACATTGATGCCAGGTACTCGCTAGTTATGTATTTCCCTAAATGCCGTGCAATCACTTCGACTCTTGACTTCCTATCCTTCTTATTCCTCTTCGCCACGACATCATCATTTACTGGAAGGTGTGGCTCATCCTACTTATCATGACTCTTCACCTTCGTCGAGGCCCTTACCGTGCAGAAGCATCGCCATCGAGCCGCATAAAGTTGTTGGTTTCTTCTTTCCTCGTCATCAGCCGCATTCAGAGAATCTGCCATGAAGGATTCCACGCGAGCACACGCCGACCCGCCCGCCACAGGCGCACCAACAAGGCCAGCTCCCACTTTGCCGCACATCACAGCTGCGTCTCTCGCTGCGTCGTTCTCCACCAGTCCGCCCAGCGGCACCGCCGTGGACGAGTACGACCGGCAAGATGTCTCCGGCATTCTCCCACCCAGCCGGCGCTCCTCCGCGGCGGACGCGTCGCTCTCGTGGCTGACCCGTAAAGCATCATCGCAGGGGGGCGATAAAGATCACACCAGAAGTGGCAGCAGCAGCAGCAGCCAGAAGAAGACGGAGGTGGTACTGACACCCGCACTGCCGCCACAGCTATTCGAGGCTACAGCCGCAGCATCTGGGCTCGCTGCGCCGCTGAAGTTCATCTCCGCAACGGCGGTGACGCCGGCAGATGTATCGGAGGAAGAGAAAAAAGGTACGACAACTACGCCACGTTGGCGGAGCGCCGACGCCGCAGCACCGGCGGTAGGGCGGACACCGACTTCCACCTTGACGATTTCGGATCCCTTCGAGAGCCCACCGATTGAGGCAGCCAACACGGCACCACCACCGCTGGCAACGTCAGCACCTGCCAGCAGCAAGGACATGCCGTCCGGCCTCCCCCGCTACCGCTTTGGTGATGTCGACGAACCCTCCCCCTTGCGCCCCTCGACCGTTGCGGCGAGTGGCCCGCGTGAGGTGACGGTCACGGGGCCACCCCCGCAAGTCTCCCCCGCTCCATCCTCGCAGACACAGCAGCATCAACGCGACGACCACGTTGATACAGAAACGCTCACAGAAGGCAATAAGGAGAGCCGCGCTGTGAAGAGCGACACGACAGTCAACGCTGCAGCGCTCACCACGGCCGCTGTGGCGGTGGCACAACCGCCAAACCAGTCATCACACCTCGGTGCGCCAATTCCGTACGCTTGCCGTCTTAGCAGCAGCAGCAGCAGTCGCAGCGGCAGCAGCATCAGCGCAACTCATCGGGCTTCACACGCAGCAAACTCCGCTGTAGGCGCCGCCGCCCACGTGCGCTTCTCATCCGATGTCAACGAGGTCGAGGCAACTCCGCGTACGTCCGCCGCATTCATTGCAGCTGCCTCGCCAGCGCAGCGCTCTGCGACGGAGATGCGGGCAGTCGTTGCCGTTGAGGATGGCAGGAGTGACGGAGACGGTGCGAGGCACGACGGACGCGGTGAGGGCGGCAGCGGCCATCACCAACACGATTTCCCGCGTGGACACCGACACGAAGGAGAACGCGGAAACAGCCTCGACATGCCTGCCCTGCCGCTGCTGCTGTCGCCCGATGAGCTGCAGCAGGAGAGACTAAAGGTCTACGATCAGACATCTGGAAGGGGTTCAGGCAGCTGCGCCAACAACGGTGATGGTGCGGAGCGACATCAACGTGACGCCCACCACCACTACCACACGACCGAGGAGGGCGAAGACATCGGCGACGAGGGTGCAGTCGCACCTCGCAGAGATGTGGGCGTGGAGAGGAAGGAAAGCCGCGGAATGGGAAGCGGCAGCGTCAGCAACAACAGCGATCCCCACCACCGCAGCAGCAAAGCTCCAGAAGACCACGGCGACGTCGCGACTCTCGACTTCTTAAAGGACACGACGGCCACCCTTCTCCCTGACGCCTTCACCAGCATGTTCGCCTCCACCACACACTTCTTGCGGAGTGGCACCGACGCAATGGTCAGCGCGGTCCCGCCGCCGCTGCGCCGGGCGATGCGCAAAACCGGGGAAGGCATCGCCGCCGCCGCGGACGTGACGGGGTCGATGTTGTCGAACGTCAGCGCGTACGCTATGCGCGGCGTGCCGGACCGGGTGATGTCGCCCGAGTGGAAGTACCTCGTCTTTGTCGACGCGGTGAACGTTCTCAAGTGCTCGCTGAACGTCAACATTCTGGTCGCGCCGTACGTTTTCCGCATGGCTGGCCTTGTCGGCGGGCTGCTGCTGATCGTGGTGATGCAGGTGGTGTGCTGCTACTACACGGAGGTGTACTTCAAGGCAAAGGGCGAGTTGCAGAGCGCCAACCAGGTCATCATGTACGGCGATGTCCCTCGCATCACCTTCGGTCGCTGGTACCCGACCTTCCAGCTGTGGTACGAGGGAATCGCGCTGGTGGCCACCGTGGCCTACGCGGCCCTCAACATGCAAGCACTGCTCCCGCACATGCACATCACCGGCAACGCCGCCAAGGCGCTCAGCTTCATCATCCCCTCGCTTTTCTGTTTACCCCTTGCGTTCATGAAGCGGGCCCGCACGCAGCAGTCGATGATGACCCTCGCTAGTCTTCTCATCTTTATCGCTCTTGTCATGATGTTTGCCGTGTTCCCGTACGGCAGCGTGATGGCAGTCACCATCGGCACCATCGAAGGCAACCCTAACGCGGCGGTGCTGCAACTCTTTCCGCCGTCGGCGCCGGAGTTCTTCGTCGCCATCAGCATCTGCGTGTTTATTCTTACCCCGCTGAGCCAGGCAGTGCCGGTGGAGCGGACAATGCAGCCGCGGCGCTACGTTAAGCTGCTGCGCGTGAGTGTACTGATAAGCACGGTGGTGTACATCGCGTTCGGTGTGTGCGCCATCGTCTCCTACGGCTCTCACACGTGTTCTGTCCTGTCGACCTCCTTCGGCAACCACAACACAAACGTGGAGGTGGCTGTCATGTCGCTGCTCTTCTTCGCCTTTCTCTTTTACATCCCGCTGAACATGTTTGAGCTGGGTGAGCTGTGTGACCGACGCGTGCTGGGGTGGCGCGCCATTCCCCGCTACGGCGAGTTTGGCCCAAACACGCTGCGCATCTTCGTTCTGGTGGGCAGCGCGCTGCTTGCGTGGTGCATCCCCTACTACGGGCTGCTCATTGCGCTGGCGGGGTGTCTCGGCTACAGCATCGTTGCGATTCTCATCCCAGCCGCCTTGGACTACGTGTGCCGTGCGCGGCGTGGACTGCTGCGAGGCCGCATGCCGCGCTTTCTCGACTACGTTATTACCTTCAGCGGGGCAGCGCTGGGCGGTGTGATTTGCCTGGTGGGTGTCATCATGACGTCATACGAAATGTGGCTGGTTATCCAGTCTGGCTACTCCACAACGTGCTAGCGTGGACACACGCTTGAGGTGTGTTGGGTGTGTTTGGCTCTGGAAAGGGAAGGGAAATCAAGTGGTACGGACTGTGTCGCACCGCACAACAGCCTGGGGCCGAGGCAGGGGTTTGCAGAATACGCATCGCTGACCGTCTATTTGTTTTTATCACCTTATATATATATATATATATTTCTTCTTCGATTCTTCTCCTGTTCGTGCATCACTGCACGGCACACCATTACCGGTAAGCGTACTCTTCTTGGATTCCGCTGCTGTTGCTTTAAATGCAAATTGCCATCACCGCTCCTTTCTTCATGTTTTCTGCCTTTCCGATGGAAAAGCTGAGACGGTCTCTTCGCTTTGAGCACCTCGACAAAGACGTTGAACGTGGCGTAGGCACACACACACACACACACACACACACGTTGAACGCCCCACCGTGCCTTTGCCACTCGTGTTGCCCAGTCTTCTGCCAATGTGTCTTGTTCTTTACGGGAGGGGGGGGTCCTACGGTGCTCGTTGTTGCCTATCCCACGCACCTTCCTTTACCTCATTGTTTCCCTCTCTCTCGCTCAACACCTTGCGTGCATCTGCGTGACGAATGTGACGTAGAGTACAGCTGTCGAAGAGGCGCAGAGACGCGCCGACGTCCCTCTACGCAGCACCCCGCTACCAATAACAGCAGCGCCTTTTCGGTTGTCGTACAGCAACGTGCACACTCACTTATATTATCAAAGAGTATTTCGTTAAAAGAAAACTCGTAGATCTCTTTGCGTGTGTGCGTGTGTGTGTTTTCTTTTATGAGCCACATCAGCGAAAGCGACGTGGCGGATGCCCGCGCTGGTGCGCAGCCGCCCACGAGCGACCCCGCCGTCCCCGCCTCTCTCGCGCGCCTCAGAAACGCGTTCGGCCCTAGTGATGGTGATGATGGTGGTGGTGGTCAGAGGGGTGCCGTGCGACCTGGACCAGCATCGAACAACCTTACAGCTGCCCCGGCAGAGCCGCCAGCTGTCCTGTCCGATACAGCGCAACTTAACGTAGACTCGATCCGTGTCGACCGCAGCTCCGCGACGTCCGCGCCGGACACCAGCGGCGTCTATAGAGCACGCGAGTACTTCCAGGTGCCCCCACCTTCGCCCTCCGCTCATCGTGACAGCAGGGACGACAGACAGGCGAACACGACCACCACCGCTGCGCTGTTGGCTCCTCCCCCGCAGAGTGCCACCCATCACGTCATCCATGGTGGCGGCAGCAGCAGCAGCAGCGACGAAGCTGACTACAACGACGGGGAGCCGGCCATATCCGCCGCGGCCCCGCACGCACCACTGGTGACTCCGGCGCTACCTCCACCTTCGCACGAGCAGCACGACCTCGCACTGCACCGGCGCAGCAGCAGCAGCAGCAGCTCCGATGTGTCCCCGCCTCGCCCCCCTGCCCACCGCCTCACCGCCGAGGAGGAACAGCTGGCTCGTATACGCGCCTACAATGAAATGTCTCGCACCAACGCGAACGGCGCACGCGGGGCGGACGACAGGCGCGGCTTCCTCGCCGACACGGTCACCACGCTGCTGCCAGACGGCGTGACACAGTGGTTTGCGCACTCGACGGATGTCGTTGCGCAGCAGTCGATGGGTGTTGTGCCGGCCGGCGTAAAGCAGGCGGCGAACGCGATCGGCAACGGCGCCCAGCACATCGGCGACGTCATCGAGCAGGTGCCGAACATGATGGTGAACGCGATTCCCACGGCGATCATGTCGAACGAGGTGAAGCAGCTCCTCTTCACGGACTTCAGCAACACCTTCCGCAGCTTCTTTCACACGAACATCTTGTCCATGCCCTTTGTCATCCGTCAGGCGGGGCTGGTGGGCGGCGTGCTTCTCCTGACCTTCGTCGCCGTCACCTCCGAGTACGCCACAGAGGCCTACTTCGGCGCAAAGAAGCAGCTGAAAAATGCGGATGAAGTCATCGTTTACGGCGATGTGCCGCGGATGGTGTGGGGGAAGTGGTATCCCATGCTCAACATCTTCTACGGCGTGACACACCTCATTGGCTTCATCGCCTTCTCTGCCTCGAACTCCGTCGTGCTGCTCGGGTCGATGGGCATGACTGGCGGCGGTGCGCGGGCGCTGGGCCTCATCGTCCCCTCCCTCATTGCTCTCCCGCTGGTGCTCATGAAGAACGTCCACAGTCAGGAGCCGCTGTCCATCTTGTCGAACCTACTCGTGATTACGGCGGTGGTGTTGATGTTCATTGACTTCCCCTACACGGTGGCCGCGCCACTCAAGCTCTGGCCCACCTCCGCCACGGAGTTCTTCGTCGCGTTAGGTGTCAGCGTGTACGCCTTCACTGGTATCGGTTCTACGCTCTCCGTGGAGCGGGCGATGTCGCCGCGGCGCTACCGCAGACTCCTCCGCGCCTCCGTCGCGCTCGCCTACGCGCTTCTGCTTGCCTTTGGCCTCAGCGGCTTCTTGTCCTACGGCAGCCGCACCTGCTCCGTTATGACCGTCTCGCTGCAAAAAGGTCCTCTCCGCACCGCCGTCAGTGCTCTTCTCTTCTTCGCCTCCCTCATGATCATCCCCCAGCAAACGTTTCCCCTGTGTGAGCTGTCCGACCGCCGCCTGCTCGGCATTACGCGATTGACCACCTACTGGGATGTGAAGCCGAATCTCATGCGAATTGCCTACCTCATCGTGAGTGCCTTTGTCGCCTTTATCGTCCCGTACTACGGTCTGCTGCTCTCCATCTCCGGCGCGCTGGGGTGCGGCATTGTGGGGCTCGTCGTGCCCGCCGGCCTGGACTACGTCCGACGTGAGCGGAAAGGCCTCCATCACAACCGCACCATGCGCTTCTACGAGTACCTGATCGTGTTCAGCCTCGGCCTCTACGGCTGCGTGGTGGTGGTGGTGGGGGTCGTGTCGGGCAGCTACCAGCTGTGGATCAGTATCCAAACAGCGTCGACCGACTCGTGTTAGTAGAGTGCTGCGCGCACCAAGAAGCTCAAAGAAAGGGGGTAGTAGGTAACGTGTCGCCGCCTTTGCTGTGTTCGTGTCTGACTCCGTGTGTGAGAGAAGGGAACGAGAGCGAGCGAGGACGCACCTGCCATGTGTGGATCTCCATTTACCCCCACAGCGTTCCCTCCATCCTATTCGTATAGGTTTTTCGTTCTTCCTTTCCAGCACGCTGCTGCTCTGCAATGTCGGCCGAAATGTCTTCGTCGTATCGGCACCGCTCGCATGTTCGTGTTATTGTTTGTCGCTTGCTGTTCGGTTGCGCTGCGCGTCATTGGATTGGCTTTGTTGCGGTGGCGCAGCCCCCACCACTCGTAAAACGAAGACATCTAAAGAAAAACAGAATAGATCTGTGACAGAAGGAATAGCTTCATAGTACCCTGTTCGCACACCGCAGCTTATGCTACGTGGTACGCGCCTTCGCACTCGCCTTGCTCCTCCTGCCTGATCTCCTCTCTCGCTTTCCCTCTCGGCGTTTCGAGAAGGAAGAAGAGATTGACGATATCGTGGTCTATTTACTTTTTCGGGAGGTGCGGAGGAAGCGCATCGCGGTTGCAGTCCGTGGCTTCTTTCTCGGCTCAACCGGACGAATGCGCGCGTTCTGGTCGGGGTGCACGCGGCCTTCGCGCGTCCATGAATCACGCTCCTCCTCCACTCTTGCTGTCGCGCTTCTCATCCTGTCATTCTCTTTCCTCTTCACAAACACACACACACACACACACACACACGTGTGCACTGTGACGCTGCGATAGAGTGCTCCTATCGATCTGGCGTCTCATTTCCTACATCTCTCTTTGATTGCTGCGTAATAGGAACGGTACAAGTCTTCTCGCTGTCTGTACGTTACCGGCGCCTTCGTGTTTTGTTCTGGTTTGTTTGTTTTACGCAGGTGAAAGGGAAAAGTAAGAATATTTCTAAAAGTAAAAACTAACACACGACAGCGAGTGAGGTGGAGAAGTACAATCGAAAACGGGTACTCTCGCACCGTCTCGGCGGCTCTCTTTCGTCTGTCAAACGAACGTGTTTTTTATTATTATTACTACTACTACTATTACTATTGAACCTTTCTTTTCTTGATCTTGCTTTACCCCGCTTGAAGTTGGTGTAACGCGTAGGATTGCAGCTTTATTTTGGTGTTTCGCCGTTGTTATTTCTAATTCGCAAGTTTTCCAGCGTTGGCTCTCTTCTATTTTCCTTTTATTGATCCCTGACCCCCTGCCGCCACTTCAACCACTGCCGGAACGGTTGTTTCTGAACAGGCTTATTTTCTTTTTTCTCTTAACAGACGAGGAGGTGCAGCTCAGTGAGCAAACAGTGAATGCTGTTTTTTTCATATAGGTTTTTCTACAGGTGTTTTACTCTCTGGCGTGTGGTGAATATACATAAATATATAGTTGTATTTTTCCAGCCGTTGCGCGTGGCCCTCTTCGCTTCTCCACCGTTGTTGGCCGTTTCATTTTCCTTTGTTTGCTTTCCTGTCTAGTTCTGTTGTCTCCTTGACTTCATTCTCTTTTCTGGTGTTTGCTTCTCCTGTGTGGGTGTGTGTTTTTAACAAAGACGAGTAGAAGGGTATGTCTGGTGTCTAAGGACAAGTTATGAGAGGTGGAGTTGGATCGTAATTCTCGATATATATATATAGATAAATTCTTCAGCTCGATCTCTTTCTGCTTCTCTTTTGATGTTTCCTCTCTTCCACTCAGGTAGACTACGAGAAAGTATTCCTTCTGCGCAGCGGACGGCGGCAGCAGCAACGGCAAGCCAATTCTGCCACTCGTGCTCGCCTCTGCCTTGTTCCTGCTTTTCTCGATAAATTTATCGGTGTGCCAACAGCGTTGTTTCCTACTCTCTGCTTCTTTCTTTCCTGATCAGAGAGGAGTCGACTAGAGTTTTCCCCTTTTTCTTTTCGACACATTTAAAGTATTGTTGTTGTTGGTATCTTCGCCTTCTTCTTCCTCCTCCTGGTTTTTGTTTTTTACGTCTTTCTCTTTGCTTTCTGCGGTCTCGGCGACACCCTCAGCGGGCCCCGGACGGAGCAGTGGTATTCACTTCACGTGTGTTGCGCCGTACAGTTGCTACCCCCCGCACACACTCTCACTGCACTTCTTCTTTGCTTGTTTGTTTGTTTGTTTAGGTCATCGCACCCTGCACTTCCGCGCTCTTCCGCCCAACAGACGTGTGTGCGTGCTACGACACGGCGAAGGAGGAGCCGCGCAGACGTTAGTGAAGTGTCCTACCCGCCGCTCCTCCTGCATATATATACACACGTTGACTCATACACAAGCTGCGCGAGAGAGAGCGGCGCGCCGGATAAGATTTTAAAAGAAAAACATCGACGTTTGGTGTATGTGAGTTTTTTATTCATTTTTCCTGCTTTCCTTCGTGTATTTTTCTTCCCTATGTCGTCCCTCGTTGACAACACCAAGCCGGCGCAGTGGTCGACCGCCGTGGACGCCGCCGCCACGCCCGCCTCCTCACCGAAAAAGCAGCTCAGGACGAGCACCGACAGCCGCGGCAGCAACACGCGCGCACCACCGCCGCAGCCAACAGACCCGACCTCCGCCGGCGTGAGGGAAGCTGCCAATCCTGCCGCCGCAGCGGTGTGCACGACCACCATGACAGCGAACGCTATGTCTCCTGACAACCCACAGCCGCGCCATGACTCCAGCGATGATCTCGACGGCTACCGCAGCTCGTGTGAACGGTCGGCGTCGGGGGAGGGCCTTCACGGCAGCCGTGAACTCAACAGTCGTGGCAGCAGCAGCAGTGGCGGCGCTCTCGAGAGCAGCGACGCTTTGTTGCTCTCCGCACACATTTGGGCGGACGCGAGCAGGGCGGAGCACGGCGTCGGCGCGCAGGCGGAGGCGCGCGGGTTTACCATCAGCGACAGCAGTAGCAGCGTCGGCGGTGTTGGCTGCTCGGCGTCGGCCACCTCCCCGCCCCACCCCCCTCACTATCACCACCACCACCACGATCACGCGCACGCGGCCCCGCGGTCCAGTGCGGCACGCGATAAGGAGCGGCAGCGGCTGATCGCCTTGAGCGCAGTGGAGGAGCCAACGGCGGCGGCGGCGGGTGCCTCCGTCACGACAGCTCCCAACGTCACGTCGAATCGAAGTGACGGGAAGTCCGGCCGGGCAACGGCGGTCATCACGCCCGTCTCACTCGCGGAGGCCTCAGCGGCCGACAGCGACAGCGACTGCTCCAGCGCCGATGCGCTGTGTCACGGCACGCAGCCCGTCTTCGCCTCTACAAGCGTCAAGACGGCCGCAGCGATGATGTCTGTCCTCGACTCCGAAAGCAGAGGAGAGGTGGAGGCCGCACCTGGCACGGACCCCGTCAAGGCCGCGGACGACCCCACGAATGGCAAGGAAGAAAGCAACGCGGTGATGGGCAGTGGTGACACTGGCGCGCTTCCGCGAGTCATTCCTCACGCCGCGGACTCCAAACGAAGCTCTCCGTCTCCGCACACTCTTTCAGCCGCAGAAGCGATCAAGTCCCCTCTGCAGGCGACCTTCTCACGCCTGTCGCGCTCCTCCAGCAACGACAGCGGTGCGGTAGAGGCATCGGCAGAGTTCGCTGTCCCACCGCCGTCCACGTCGGCGCACCGCAGTGGCTCGATCAGTCCCACCGTGCTGGCGGTAAATGAAGCGTACAGTCACAGTACGCACCACAACAAGAACTACAATAATGCGAGTAATAACAGCATTGGTGGTCGAAGCCAAGTCGCTGGTCATCGCATGAGTCTCGACACACCCGTGGTGGCACCTCTCCCCATCACACCAGAAGTGAGCGCGATGACGGCGGTTATGCTACGGCTCCCACTCGCAGAGGCTCCTGTGACGGCAGCGGACGCCCCTGCGAAGCCCATCAGCACCGACGAGTCAGGCAGCGGTGTCACCGCTGCTGCTGCTGCTGCTCCACAACTGCGGAGCACGTCGTCTTCGGAGATGAGAGAGAAAGGAGAGTCAACCACCACTGCCACCGGAGCGTCAACTGCAACAGCAGCGGCGATGTCCACCGCCGAGAAGGGTGAGGTACAGGTACCCGAGGTCACCTCTTTGGGCGTCAACACCACCACGAATACCGTTATTCCGCCTCTTTCAAAATCGGCCACCACCGCATCCTCGAGTTTCCTCACGTCCACCGTCGACGTTTCCAGCTCCTCGTCGATTGGTGGGCACCACCTCTCCGTCACGGAGGGCAACGCGTTCCTCAAGCAGTCTGGCTCGCGCCGTGAGGAGGCCTTCTACAGCATGATCCGTCCCTATCAAGAAACGCTGGTCCACGAAGCTGTCTGTCAGGCGCCACACACCGTCGAGCACTGGCGGCGTCAAAATGCGGCCTCATCGCACCCCGGCGCCCACCTCGGGGACGACACGGAGGGCAACAGCAGCGGGGGTGCCACCGCCACCGCCACAGCAACAGCAACAGGAGGCGGAGGTGGTGGGGAAACGCCAGCCGTCATTCGGTGCGTTCATGCGGACATGCGTCGCACCGACGGCCCCGTCGCAGCGCCCGTCTCGCACAGGGACGAAGCCGTCTCCGAGTGTGACGCGCGGTGGAAGGCCTATCAGCGCATCGAGGCGGAGGACCTCTCCTCGCTCGATATTTTGGCCTCCGCCCCGCCCACCACCGAGGAGGAGAAGCAGCATTGCCCAATTCTGCATCGTATGCGCAGTGGCACCGGGGACGAATACGTGCCGCCGCCGCCAGGCTGCCCGGCGCACCCACGCAGTGTCAACAACGACATCAACAGTGGCAACAACGGTGTGGTGGCCGTCGTCGCCGCAGACGCCGCCCCTGCCCTTCTCGAGCCGCAAGTCGATGAGAATCTGGTGGAGTTGGCCGCGCGACTGTGGTGGACCATCCGCTTCCGCCACTTCTACCGGACGTCGTCCGCGGCTTATGAAGTGCAGCGGCAGGCGGCCGAGGCGGCCGGCATGTCCTCGCCTTCGTCCTCTGCCTCTCCAGTAGCCGGTGCGGGCGGTAAAGACGGTGCCGGCGTCTCGCGCTGCTCCACCCCCGCCGCCCAGCCTCACTACCCCACCTCGCCCACGCCCGGCCTGCACTTCAAGGAAGAACCGATTCCTTCACCCATCCTGTCGTTGATGCCGCAGTCGGCTGCGAGGTCGCAGGTGGTGCCCCTCAGTGGTACGGCGACGCCCAACATGGTCGGCTCCTTTGCAGCCTCGTCCTTGGAGGGCACCGCCTGCGCCGTCAGCCTGACAGAGCGGCAGTACAACGCACAGAAGCACCGCGCCCTGCAGCTGCTCGCCGCCTTTGTGCCACGATACCACGGCACGTGTCGCCTTTTCCTAAAAGACGTACTGCGGTGTGAACGGCGGGGTATTGCGGCGGCCGCCGCAGCAGCAACGACATCTGCCGCGGCCGTGGCAGCAGCATCACCATCCGTGGCGGCCGTCGCGGTGGCATCGGCAACGGCAGCAACTGCGGCAAAAGACCGTCAGAATCCGCTGGCAGAATGTCAAGGTGACGAAGAGGCAGCGGCGGCGGCACCTGTGCCTCAGATTGTAGATGCCGACGACGACGGCAACGAGGCGGGTGGAAGCCGCAAGATCTGCCGCATGATCATGCTGGAGTACGTCTGCTACAAGTTCGCGCGTCCCTGCGTGATGGATATCAAGATGGGCAGCCGGCAGTATGGACTGCACCCGACAGCGGAGAAGAAGCGGAGTAAGGAGCAGAAGGCGAAGCTGTCCACCTCGGCCCGCTACGGAATACGACTGGCAGGTTACCGGCGGTGGAACACGGCGGAGTCGCGGTACAGCTTCCGCAGTAAACTGCAGTGCCGCACGTTGACGCTGCACGAAGTGAAGAATGAGATCTCCGCGTTTATGCTGCACAACCGCGAGTTGGAGCGCGTGTTTCAACGGCAGCTGCAGCGGCTGCGGGTGGCCTTTAGCCAGCAAACGGTCTTTCGTTTCTACACGTCGTCGCTGTTGTTTGTCTACGACGCCGAAGACCCGTTAGCGACGGCGCGGGTGACGATGGTGGATTTTGCCTACACGTACGAGTCGAAGGAGCTGCTGCAAGGCGGTGATCCAGACGCTGACTTTGCGTATGATGTCGGCTACTTGAAGGCGATCGACACGTTGCTGTCTTTGCTTGCGTAGCCACTGAAGTGTTCGCGGAAGTTTATGGGCGTTGTTTTCCGCTGTATTACTACTTATAGTTTTCTTTTAAGACGGTTTCTGTTGCTGGTGGTGTAGTTGTTCCATTTCTTTATTTCTTTCTTTTTGCGCCCTTACATGAAAGTAGCGGTGTTTGTACTCCACTGTTTCTCCTCTCTTGTTTGGGGGGAGGCATTTAATGCGTTTTATGGCGTGCCTGCGCAGGCCAATGTCTACAAAAAACTGAGATCACTTGTCGGTCTTTGGGGGGCTGTAGCTGCCGTGGCTGCGTATCGAGACATCGTGGTGCTGCGTGTAGTTTGCAAGGCACATATATATAGAGAGAGAGAGAGATTTGTTTGCTCTGGATGGTTGACCCAACTCGTTTCTTTTTCGCTTCTTCGACTGTCTCGTTTTTCCTTTCCCCCCCCCCCCCTTTTTACTTGTTATCATTATTTCAGTCCCGATATCTTTTCGCCTCCACGCGTTGAATGCGTCTGTCGAGGCTCACTGTGTACGTCGGTGTTCTCCCGTTGCATCGCTCCACCCTTTTTTATATATATATTTACTTTGCTTTTTTGTTGTTTTTGTTGCTCTTGTTGTCTTCAGTCATGGCGTTTCTTTGAAGGTATTTACTACAGTGTGTGTGTGTGTGTGCTTTCGCTTCCCCTGTTCGATCCCTTTTTGTTTCTCTCTCATAAAATAATAATTCGATTGTATATGGAAAAAGGAAAAAGGAGTAAAAGAAAAAGATTCGAATAAAGCGGCTGCACCGTGATGTTCGGCAGACGTAGATCGTTGGCAACGTGTAGTGTACTTCATATATATGTATTTACTTGTTTTTTTTTTCTAAAGCCCTCGCATTTTTGTTGTTGTTTTGTTTGACGTTTCCTCTTCCAGCAAGGGGTTGTCAGGTCAAAAGCTCACACCCACACACACGCATCCAATCTTCTCCTTCATGCGAACGGAACCCTTTCCACATCGTCCTCTCTCAACATCTGTTCGTTTGACCATATTTATTTATACAAATATTTGCTTACTTTTTAGTGCAGCAGTGTAATAAGACTCATGTAGTTCAGAAGAAAAATTAAAGGGATTTCACTTGCTGAAACTCAGATCTTTTTGTTTGTGGTTGTGGGAGTGTGTGTTTGTTGTTTGTAAATGAGGAAACGCACGACCAGTTGGTTGTGTGCGGAAGTTTTGTATGCATGTGCTGCTTCGAATTAAGAAAGAAAAAGACATAGCATCTTGCAGCGACGCTGGGGGTTCGGCAATCTCTGCTAACCGTTTTCTTCTTTCTAGCATTCCGACCCTCACGCGGAGATGATGGAAGGCAACACAAAAAAGTGTAGAGGAAGGCGGCGGATATGCAAGACGAACCATGAGCTGCGCTTTTCGCGTTCATTCGCTTAGTGGTACTCGCAGTAGCTACAGCACTTTTCCACGCACTATTTGCGATGCTGCAGCTCGTGTTTTGTTGCTCACCAGCGGCCATTTCGGCTGCGGGCCTTCGCCTTTGTGCAGGTACTCGTTTCATTTTTCTTCCTCCTCCTCCTCCTATCCATCCTTCTCTCTTCCCGCTCATTCTGTTGCAGCTCCACCTCCTGGCATCGCAAGTGGTATGCTGCTCTTATTATTATTATTGTTGCTATAGTTGCATTGCTTCAATATATATATATATATATCTACTACGTAGGCGCCCCGCCTGAACCGCTAATTCGAAGTCGCAGTATCATTATTCATTGTTAAATAAGAAGTCATGTTCACCCTTGCGATCACCGGCAGCGGCTCGGAGCAGCTGAAGGCGGAAGTTCAGGCTGCCCTCGTGGACACGGCCCACCTCTTCGCTGCCCCCTCCTCCACCCCCGAGACGAACCAAATTTTCACCCTATGTCTCGATGCTGCGGACACGGCATTCATGAAGCCGCTTTACCAGCTTTATCACTATCGTTTTGTGTGGACGGAGATGAGCACCGTGGCGGAGCTGGTGGCGGCGCTGCGGCCTCTCCTCGCGTCCCACGCCCAACACGGCGGTCACGCCGGCGCCTTCTCCAGCACCCGCGGCGCAGCGGAAGCGTCTAATTTTTTGTCCGTCGTGCGGGACGGCCTCGCCAGCGACGGCGGCCTCTACATCCTGAAGAACATCCCCGTCATGCCCGACTCGCAGCTGCACTTCTTCTGCAAACAGAAGAACCTCGCCTACGTCGATGCGGCGGAGACGATACTGGAGCAGCTGGTGGACGCGAGCATCGCGCCGGCGGTGCTGTACCCGCTGGTGCTGCAGGCGTACGACCCGTCGCGGTGGTCCGATAAGATCGATATCTGCCCCATCACGCCGCTGCTGAAGGGCGGACTTGCGAAGACGATGGCGGAGGTGGCGACGGAGGACACGGGGCGGCTCGCCCGATCGGCCTCCTTCAACGCACCGGAGCGGTGGGCCGCCAACGTCTCCGTCATGGAGCTCTTCCACGGCCCCACCGCCGCCTTCAAGGACTTCGCCCTGCAGCTCTTCCCTCGCTACTTCGCGACCGCCACGGCGACGCAGGAGAAGGAAAAGTACGTCATCCTCGCAGCCACCTCCGGCGACACCGGCGTGGCGGCCATCAGCGGCTTCGTCAACGCCGGGGCCCACGCGCAAGTGATGGTGCTCTACCCGAGTCACGGCGTCTCGCCGGTGCAGCAGACGCAGATGCTGTCCTTCGACGACGGCGCGCAGGTCCGCGCCTACGCGGTGCCCTCCGATTTTGACTTCTGCCAGAACACGGTGAAGCAGCTCTTCACGAATGCGCCGCTGAAGGAGGAGCTCGCCGCGCTGCACCCGGCGGTGCGCCTGTCTTCGGCGAACAGCATCAACTGGGGACGACTGATCCCGCAGGTCGTGTACTACTTCTGGGCCTACCGCCACCACGTCCAGCACCCGTCCCCCGGCTGGACGTTTGGCGACCCGATCGACGTCGTCGTGCCGTGCGGCAACTTCGGCAACATCCTCAGCGGCTACGTCGCGAAGCTGATGGGCCTGCCCGTGCGCAAGCTCATCGTCGCGTCGAACCAGAACGACGTGCTGCACGACTTCGTGATGACCGGCACGTACGACGTGCGGCAGCGCACCCTCGCCGTCACTGCGTCGCCGTCGATTGACATCTTGAAGGCCTCCAACGTGGAGCGCTTCCTCTACCTGCTCAGCCACGGCAACACAGAGCTGGTGGCACGCCTCATGCGCGAGCTGGACACGAACGGGGTCTTCACGATACCCGATGACATGCGGGCCGCGATGCAGGAAAGCTTCGCCGCCGGCCGCTGCAGCGAGGAGGACTGCGCCGCCACCATCAAATCCGTCTACGAGCTGTCACGGGGCGCTCGCCTGCTCGACCCCCACACGGCCGTCGCCGTCTTCGTGGCACAGAAGTTCCGCGAGGACGAGCTGCTGCAGCGGGACCTGGCGAAGCCGACGGCAAACGACGCGGATGGCGATGTGCCCCCGCTGGTCATCGCGAGCACCGCCCACTGGGCTAAGTTTCCCGCTCCGGTGCTGCACTCTCTGCGTGGTGAGGGTGCCCAGCTCGGCTCACCGGCTGCGTCGGTTGCCGCCGGCATTCACGAGGTGCGGGCTCTCTACGCGGAGATCACGAAGAACGGCACCCAGCAGCCGCATCCGGCGCTGCTGCACGCGCTTGATGTGGCGGAGAAGACGGCCAACTCGGTGCGCTCCATCGACGCGGATCTCCCTGCAATTCAGAAGGAGTTGGAGGGCTTCGCGCGCGTCTAAGCGAGCTCGTACATTATCCGCAGTGCAGAACGGAAGAAACGGGAGGGAAGGAGGGGGGGGGAAGAGCGTAGGGCATGCTTTTCTGTGTGTGGGAGAATTGCTGCGGGGCACAGCGTATGGTGGGTCTGGAAAAGGGTTAGTGTTTCTCGTCTCGTGGAATACGAAGAGGTGCGTGTGTGTGTGTCTGTGTGTGTGTCTGTGTGTGCTGTATTCATTGTTAGGGAGCACGCGAAATGCGGAAGCGCAGTTGTTCGTGCCTCATGTTCTCCCCGCATATATTTATATATTTGATGCTGTTGTTTATCGTTAGCTATTTGGCCCTCTGTTATCTACACAAACAAACAAGAAAACAAGAAGTTCAACGGACGCAGCGGAGACAGCGCTGGAGGGGGTAGTTGTGGCAGTTCTGCATCACACCGCTGCCACCTTGGACAAACGAGGGTCAAAGAGACGGCTCCTTTGCTTTGCTTTCAAATGAGGTGTGTGTTGTTTTGAAGAGGGAGAGAGAGAAGCGCAGTTAGTTTGTCGGTGTGCTCCTCCTCTTCCTGTTCTCTCCACAGGTTGGGGTCATAGGCTGCTTTGTAGGAGTGCCATCACGCGCACGCCAACGCTGGAGCTACTGCTGCTTCCCGTTCGCTATTCGAATCGCCATGCAGCTCCCTTTTGTCAAAGGTCTATTCCAGTCCTATTGACCGCACTGCCTCCTCCTTCTTTCACTCCTTCCCATTTCTCTCTCCCCCTGCCTCTTTCTCCTGCTCGTTTTTCAAACAGTACTCGAACGATCCTCTGCGTGTCGGTGTGTGTGTTGCTGACACAGGTGGACGGTTGCAGCGAACTCCGTGTGCTCTTCGCGTATTTGTGTTGGATCCTGTTTGTGGCTGCCGTTGCGGCTGCTCTTGCTGACTACGTGAACGCGTTGCGGCGTCATCAACGGCGGAAACTCCTCACCGCGCCGGGGAAGGAGCTTCGTTTTGAATGTTGTACCGTTGCCCTTGTGGATCTGCCACGCAGCCGTTAAGGAGCTACGAGAATTAGAAAAGGAGGAAGAGGAATATGGAATGGCCCTTGGCGAACGCCCCATTCGCGAACGTCATCGTCGAAGAGGACATCGCCGAGCACGAAGATGAAGTCAACGGTCAACAGGAGCGGCCGGGGCTACCGTCTGCTCCGTTACTCGGTGCTCCGCGCGGCACCACGCAACGTGATGCGCAGCACATCCATCAGGTGAGTGCATCCAGCGTCTCCTCCGCAGTCCAAGAGGAGGCGAATGGCGGTGGCAACGAAGTACACGCACCTCGGTGGTTTACGCTGCGACCACCCGCGGCGCATTCCGCCACTTTGTCCTCGTCTCCCGTCGTTGCGGAGATGCCACCGGAAAGCGGGTCAGCAACAGCGACTCACGAGAACGGTGGACCACGTCGCGCGTTGCGGCTGACATTGGCCCCCACCAGCGGGTCGTCCACTACAACAAAAGCATCCGCCATCGTCGCCTCCAAGACATCGGCACCAGTGGAGGAAAGGAGGAACCGTGTGCGGCCCGCGCGCCTGCGTTCGGCAGCCAATACGCGAGAAGAAGAAGCGGCGGCGGCACCCAAAACGAAGGAGCGGGGAAAGTCCACCGCAAAGAGCACCGCAACCGCCCCGCCCACTGCTACCGTCCCCCCTACAGCCGCCTCCGCCCCCTCCTCTGCAAGTCCTTCTCTTTCTCCAGGAGAACGCGCAGCGGAGCGGCGTCGATTGCAGCTCGCGTCTGCACGACCTGCCAGCCCTGCGGACTGCTTCGACTGGTGGATGTATTTGTGCCACTACGACACGCACGCCCTCTTTGTGTCACAGCCACTCTTCGAGCGCACGCTGCGGCCTATCGCCTCCTCTTCTTCTGTTAGCCACTTCTACGCCACGCTCAGCAGCTGCTTTGAGGAGTGGCGGCAGACGCACTGGAATGCGCTCGTGGTGATGCGCGGCAGCAGCGCAAACAGAAACAACCACAATAATAATAGCCGTCACAGTGGTCGTCGCACCGCGTCGTCATCTGCGTCCTCCGCACGCGTCGTGCGCGATCCGGCGCTGCTGGACTACGCCAACGTCGTGTGGTACGAGGCGCTGCGTGTGCAGCGGCTGATGGTGCAGCAGCTGCTCCTCTCCAGCGTCAACCACTCTCGTAGCAGAAGTTACGAGGAGGGGAGCGGAGAGGCGGGCCGCACGCCGCGGTGGTGGTGGTGGTTTCCTGATGCGTGTCCGCTGGCCTTTTACGCTGCGTTGGGTGAGTCATGGTCACCGCAGCCTCAACAGCGTCACAGTACCGCGGCAAGCGTTGCGAACACCTCCTCCTCCTCCTCTCCTTCTTGTTCTCTGTACAGCGTCGTGCCTGTACCGATGCAAGGAGCAGCAGCAGCATCAGCATCAGCTGCCGCACCGACGACAACAGTAAACGTTTCTCTCAAAGCAGATGTGAACGATGATGCCTCTTCCGGCACGTCCAATTCTCTCCCGCTTGCCATCCCGACCGCGGCGCGTATCCTGACGCTGCTGCGCGTGGTGGACGCCCTCTGGAGCGATACGCCGGCCTCGCTCGCCTTCCGCCTCCCCGTGACGGAGATGGAGGTCTCGCACTACTACCGCAGCATCAAGGACCCAATGAGTCTGTGCCGGCTGTACGAGGATGTTTTCGCCGGTGCGACAGCGCCGGCCCTGCGCCAGAGTCAGCACCACCAACAACAAATAGCAAGCAAAGTGCACGCAGCCCTGCGGAGTGCCGCCGCGTCGACCGCGGCCGTGGCGCAAGATGTGTCGTCCTCGTTCATCGACTACGCCCACCTGCGGGTGCGGCTCGCTACGCTGAAGGAAAACTGTGATGCCATTAACGGCGCGGGGAGTGAGTTGAGTCGAGAGGCGCGTCAGCTGCTCAGCACCGGCGCTAAGGTGATGCGAGACGCGGTGGCAGACGAAGACGGACGGGCGGCGTACCTCCAGAAGCTGCAAAGTCGGGAGATTCTGCTGCCGTCATCGTCGTCGTCACGCGACGCGCACTACGGTACAACGGAAGATGCATCAGCAGCGGCGGCGGCCCTCCTCCCTCCTTTGTGCATGGAGGAGTTGGCCCACGCCCTGTTTCCGCCGAGTGAGGCATCGGCTGTCCTGCCGCCTGGCGCACGTGCGAACACGACAATAACCGAGACAACGCGAAACACGCGGAGAGGCGAGGGCGCGTCACCGAGGACGGCGGCGGGGGTGGATACACCGCACGCACCACCGCGTCGTGTATTGCAGCTTCCTAGTGCGACAGCGACAGGGGCGGCTGCCTCATCGCTATCACCACCCACCTCGCACGCCACCACGGACGTAGACTTCTGGGTGCGGTGCGACAGCTGTCACACCTGGCGTAAGTTGGCTACGCGACTGGACCCGGTGCCCGAGACGTGGGTGTGCGCGTTCGTGGGGCTGGCGTGCGCAGCGCCGGCGAGCAAGCGGCGGCGTGGTCGGTCGGCGACGTTGGATTCGGCAGCGGAGGGAGAGGGGGCTGCCGTGGGGAAAGGGAGAAGGAGCGCCACGAAGAGGGAGAAGAAGAGGCGGGCGTCGTCCGTCAGCGGCGGTGACGTAGTGCGACACGACGACGGGGAAGTTCCGCTGGCGACGCTGTTCCCCGTGACGAGGAACGCCTTCGCAACGACACAAGACGACCACGCCAGTGGTGCACACTCGCGACAACGCCGAAGATCAACGCGTAGCGCGTCGTCGTCGTCGTCGTCGTCGTCTTCGTCTTCTTCCTCCTCCTCCGACAGCGGCTCGGCATCGTCCTCCACGTCCTCCTCAGCGTCATCGTCGTCTTCCTCTTCGGCTGGCAACGAGAAAAGCGACCGCAGCTCCCACGACAACAACGGACACCATCGCCGGCGTAAACAACGTATCGCACCCAAGACTCGTGGCAAACAGCAATCTCGACCGCAGACCCACGTCCTGCCGAAGTTCCCCGTCACGCCTGCAAGTACACGTGATGTTGCGAAGGCGGCGTTGCAGGGCTCTGCCGCAGCGCTGGATCTGCTGTCCCAGGCGGTGACTGAGCTGGAGCAGCGGCCCGTGCAGGACGACCCTTTTGCGCAGTTAGATGAAGTGAAGCGTTTGGAGAAGCAGTTGAACGCCCTAGCGCAGTAGACGTGGTGCTCTCGCTAAGAAAGAGATGGCGAAAAGCTTTTCATCTGGTGGGGGGGGGGGGATAACGATAGAAGTTAATAACGATTGTGACTGCGCAGAAGGGACTGTCTTCTCGGCAGGTTTGACTCCCAGATCTCCTTTTGAAGCACAGACAAAAATAATGTTTTCCACCTGGCATCTTACCTTTTGCCGTTGCTGCTGCGCAGAGACAAAGGACGGGGCTCGGTCTGTACTCCACCTCTCTACAGCGCTGCGAATACCCCGTGCGGGATTTGCGGAACTTCCGCTGCGCTTCATGTTATCGCCGACACCTCCGACGCGTTCTTCTCCTCCTTTTTGACACCTCTGCTTTATGTATTCTATTCCGTTTTGCTTTGCTGCTGCTGTGGTGGTGGTGTAGCACATTCAGTGGAACTCGCACACGCAGTCGCCGACGCGCATCTGTCGCTTTCCTTCCACACCCTTGAGAGACAGGCATCGATTTATTTACTTCTTTCTTTGGGCGGGCCTGTCGGGTACATTCAACACCCGAGACAATCAAACCATAGAGTTGCATGTGGAGGATGACGCAGGAGGTGAAGAAAGCGAGCGAACGCCGACACAAAGGACTACCACCGGCACCGACACGCTTGCGTGGAACCGCGCGCGCCGACAGGTATTATTGATCCGTATTGCCCTCTCTAGAACGATACGAAGGAAAGCAAAGGTCTTCTTGTTAAATATATTATATATAGAGAGAGAGAGACTCTCGTTTCGAAGAAAGGGAGGAAGCACTCGCACTATAGAGCCACTCATCATCTTCTTCTTTTGCATTTGGTAGGTGTGTTCAGTCTCCTGCAACACATTAGTTTTCATTGCTGCTGACTCTTCACATCGTTTTTGTTCTGGTGTTGCTGCCTCATCTCGGGGCATTCATTTGTTTGTGTTCATCCTTTCTCCGTCGTCATGCACCACTCACAATACCGGAAAATCGATGGCCACCTGGACAACATCGAGGGGTGCCTTCGGGACATGGTACGAGCACCACCACCGCCGTCTACCAGATCACGTTGGGACCCGCCCGCACTGGCGCCGATGTCTCCCTCTTCACCCAACGCAGCCGCCACGGCTTACGCAAGCCCGCTACATCGCGACACGAATAATGAGGTGGTGAGTTACGCGGCCTCCCTGCGACCACCGCCAGCTCTGTCGCGACCTCCTCCTTTTCGACCGGGACACACGCGAGGCGGCCGTCAGCCAGGTGCACTCGCGACGGGAGCTGCAGCTCCTCTGCCAGCCACCTCGAGGACGTTGATTTTCAACTCCGCACGGCCGCTCCCACCGCTGCCAAGTCCGATTGTCTCGTCGTCGTCATCAGCGTTGTCGAATGACAGCTCGCATCTCTCCGACAGCGACGATGAAAAAACTCCAAAGAAGGCTGCAGCGAGCTCTGCGTCTTCCACGCACTCGAGCCCCGTCGTGCCCGTCATGCGGCCGCCTCTGTCTAATGCATTCCGCCCCAGTGGAAGAGCGACAGCAGCTGCAGCAGCGACACCATCGCCTTTGCTGTCATCTCCTGCGCTGACGCGAGACTCTTCGGTTCTCTCCAGTGAAAAGCAGGAGACCTCGTCTCTAGCTTCGTCCCTGGATGGGAGTCTCGAGCGAAGTATGACGTCTATACTGGACAGACTCGAGCGCCGCTTTCCACGGCCGCCACCGCTTCGACGGCAACGACAACATTCGGACCCACCACATGTAGACGGAGTACACGAAACGGAGCCGACACCGCGACCCTCACGCGCACCCCTGCCAACTCATTTTAGTGCTGAACCCCACGACGTCAACGATGTGTCGCCTCCGACGGAGTCGGCAGGCCTCGCAGCCGCCAATGAGTCCTCCCACTCCTCAGCTTCTTCCCCTCTATCCACCTGGGACACCCACGCCGGCTCTTCTCCACTGGATCGTTCAGCGGAGCAGCCCACTGCGCCACGCACGCGTGACACTTCTGCGTTGTCGAGCGCTGCGGAAATTAGAAAGCCCGGTAAGCCGCCTCCCTCCTCCTCGCAGTTGAAGGACTCTCTGCACCTTGACTTCCCCTCATCAGCTCCAACGAGACACCCACCTGGTCACGACTCCGCGATCCCAACTGCTCAGGTGGCGCCAACGCGGAGTGACGTACCTCAGCGAACGCACCACCGTGGAGTAGGTCTGGAAGAGGACGACGAAGAGCCACAACAGCCCGACTCCGGTGACATGCCTGACCCAACGAAGATGGTCGTCGGCAGCACCTCCTCTGGTCATCCATTTCCAGACGATGCTGCGGTCAACAATGTCGTGGCGCTCACACACGTCGACGCTGGGGCCGCCACCGTTGCTCCCGGTGCTCTTCAGCCAATCTGCGCCAACACAGATGTTCCATCAATGCGTCCGCCGCCTCTGCAGGAAGGTGCGAGTACTGAGCCTGCGCACTCATCGACTACGAGTCGCAGTAACAGAAAAGCGGACAGTCCTGTACCGCATGACGCCCGCCCGGCCAACCTAACGGAAGGGTCTGCCTTTTCTACCCCGGAGGCCTCCCGTTATTCTCCCGTGAACACAAGCACCGCCGATTCACGGCGTTCGCAGGAAAGGCCCAATAATCCACCGAGTTCCTCCGGCCCTCTACCTCTACCTGAGACGCCCCTTCCGACGCTCCACAACCTCGAATTGCCTACAGTCCCCAGCACGCAGAACATCCCTAGTGCCGACGACAGCCTTACTGAACTTGTGGCGAGTCACCTGCAGTCGGCGCCCATCAACCCTGCCGTTGATACGCCAACACACCTGACAAAGATGCGCAACACCACGCCACCACCTGCCAGCACACCGCCCGAATCTAATTCGTCATCTGCGGCAACCCCATCAACGC